GGGAGCCTGTCCCAAAGGCTGTTCTGCAGCGGGGGTGGGTGGGGGTGTGGTGGTGTACGCGTCTGCTGAATTCCCAGCGCTGTGCTGTGTTTCAAGCCAGGCTTGTTGGAGCTCGGTTACCTGTTGGCAGTGGTGTCTCCTGAATTCGTTTGCGTGTGGTACTGAAGTGCTTATTTAGAATAAACTTCATTTGGGTTTTATCTGTCGCCTGTGTGCTTCTGTTATGCCTCCCGGTTCTTTGAATTTATATCATCGCGAAGAACCGCTGCGTTACTCTGAGGGTGCGTAATCCTGAAAGTTTGCCTCCAGTCTGTGTCTCTGCTGCAGGGCTATGTGAACGCTGTGGGTTGCCTTTCCTGGTTCTGAGCCTTCTTCCACGCTCCTGGGGCTTGGTGGGGCCTGCAGTCACCAGAGGGACTTGCTTCAGGCTTCCTGAAGTCTCCTGGGAAACCTCACAGGCTTTTCTGAGCTCCAGTCTTGATTTGTCTCTGGCCTTTTAGTTAGTACCCTTCTGAATTTGATAGAGGAATTGCAAATGCTTGTGTGTGAACGACAAGACACAGTTTCACTTATTGAAGCGATCTGTGAACTTGGGAAGTCTTGTTGCTGGAAGTTAGGTTCCAAAGTGCTTTTGGGAAACCAGAATCAAGTTGTGCCGAAGGTGGGGTTTGCTGCTGATAGGGAATTAGTTGTTTTTCCCAATCAGCCTTGAATGTTTGGAGAAAGAGCAATGAGTTCTGCTTGTTAGTGTTATATGCTGTAGATCTTCATGTCCTACAGTGTTAACTTGTATCCCAGAATCTATCTTGATTCTATAGGAAAGGAGAATTCAATTTTGTATGACTTATGACAGCCCTTATTTGTACGCTTATGGGCTGAGGTTGAGGGGAGAATGTATTTAAATAAAAGCAAACCATTTCAGGTGGAAAGCTTGGGAAGAGCAGGCTCCCTTGTGTCAGTTTCTCATTTCAGAGACCTACAACTTAAGCCTTGGTTGGATGGTGTTTTCTGGCTCAAACTGATCCCAGCAGTAATCTGTGGATCCCAGCAGTGACTACCACATTGGGTTTCGTACCCTGTGAATTGGGAGACCTTGCGTTGAAGTGTTTCCTTGGGGCAGTGATGTGTCTTGTCTTTAGCAAAGCAGCCAGTATACATCAGCTTGCTCTGCATGTTTTGCTGATGACTTTCTGTGTGTTTGCAGAGCCATGGAGGACCTGGAAAATAATACCACCGTCTTCTCCACCCTGAGATCCCTCAACAACTTTATTTCACAGCGTATGGAGGGAGTGTCTGGAGTGGCTACACCGGGATCGTCTCAAAGCTCCTTACAGATCCAGTACCAGCAGAGGGTGCAGGTGAGGTGTCCTCAGCTTGGTGATGCCTGCAGCATCCCTTCGGTGGGGTTGTAGGTGCCTTTTGATTCCAGGAATCGGGATTGATTTCATTGAGATCCGACCATTCTTTCTAAAATTGATATTCATGCAAGCTCAAGAATGGAAGCTTACTTTTGGTCAAAGTTTTAGAATCTTTAGATGTTTTTAAAGCATCAGACGTACTTACTTCTGTTTTGTAAAAACTGCAGAAAGGTCCTTTGAATTTCTTCTCTGCTTGTTATACTTGTATACCAGCCCAGGAAATTAAATTGTAAGTTGTTTTCATATTGCTGAACAAAGGAGCTTTATATCTGTCAATATTTTTCTGCTAAGTCACTTTGTTACCTTTTTTCACAGCCTTCATGAAAGTTTCTTTGTCTGGACACATAGAGGAGCTTTGCATTGTGCTGTGGCTTTGATGTGCTAACCGCTTGTGCTTTCTTGTCTGCTTCTGTTCATATCCGTGTGGGTTTTTTGAGTTTTTCCTGTAAGCTGCCTTATGCTCATAAAGCATGGAGTAAGTTGACATCTGGGATCATATGGACAGTTTATTAGACTGTAATAAAGTTTCTGTATTCTGTATCTTGATATAATTTCTATTTCAGTCTTTAAGTGTAAAATAAGCTTTGCATTTGGAATGCTAAGAAAAATTTATGCATTTTTTGTCTATGGTATATCTCTGGTTAGAGAGTCTTCATTAGCTATGTGTTGAGTGTACGTTGCTTAGATGTATTCTGTTAATACTGTCTGTTCTGTAAGGTAATTGGAATGAAAAAAGGAGGCATAATGTTGTAGCAGGTAGTAGAAAAACATGTTATTTTGCTCAGCAGTTAAATTTAGTGGGGAGCATGATCTCTTCTTGCTTAGCTGCTGTTCTATGAAGTGTGGGGAGTTCGTAATTAACCTTTTTATAGAGAGAGAAGTACATTTTGTCCTCTAGAGACTGAGTGAGAAATTCAGAACGAAGATCTTCAATTTCACTTCTTTCCAGCTAAAACTTGATTTGGTGTCAGTTTCTGAGTGTGTTGTTGACCTCTTGGTTTCCCTGTCTGCGGCTGGTGTGAGAAGATGAGTACCACAAATACAGTGATAGCTCCCTTGTAACTTGTAAAGTGGCATGGGAGTGTCAGCTGAATAGTACAGGGTGGGAGATAACAATGTCATTGCGGTGCTGTTAATGGTGTGTAATGTCCCTTTTCACACATGAACTGGCCAGTTGGAAGAACAAGCTGGGCAGATCCACTCCAAATCCCAGCTCCTGCAGGTGGAGCGAGAGAAGATGCAGATGGAGCTCAGCCACAAACGAGCTCGCATTGAACTAGAGAAGGCAGCTAATACCAATGCCAGAAACTATGAGGTGAGTATGACAGTTGCAGATGGCTTGATATCGTAGGCCTAAGTCACAACACACATAGTGCATCTACGCTGGTGTTTTAGTTTGGATCAGGGATGTGCTCTTGACTTCTCATGTGCTGTGCTTTGGTTTGCAGTGGAGTGTCTCAGAAGGTGTATAGTCAACTTTTTTTTGTATGAAACTAAACTGAAAGATGTAGTCCAGGAGCAAGCCTAGCGTTCTCCAGCTACTAATGAGCACTGTCTTCAGAGCAAGGCTTCAGCGAATCTGTAGTAAATGCTCCTGGAATGCGTTTACTGCATTTGCTGCAAATGTGGTGGTGGTGTGGGTGTCAGCTTCCCAGCACCAACTGTTTTGCTCTACAGATCTCCTCACAGTGCTTTGTGCTAACTTGCTAGTGTACACAAGAGTGTGAACCTTGAAGGCTTGTTTGGTTGACAAACTGATGATCTGATCACTCGATGCTGTTAGTTTAACACTGAAGTTAGCACATGGGTAGCAATAACAAAAGGGATTTGTTATTTGCTTCTCCCAGAAGTATTTAAGCGTTTTTCTCCTAAATGAATTTGAACTTTTGCTGGCACAATTGCAAATATTTAGTTTGTGTGACTGTAATTAATTGGAATGGCAGTAGTGCCAGCCATGCACTGTCACACAAGAGAACTTGCACTGATAAAGCAGTGAGCCTCCCTCAGGGACTAATAGCTTTTATTTGTTTCTGGTTTTATGCCTGTGTACGTTTGCTTAACTATGTTACTGAAATAAGTAGTAGATCTGTGGGTTTTGTAAGATAATAAAGGGCTTATATATGGCTGATTATTTTAAAAAAGTATCTTTAAAAAATAATAAGCATGTTTTGTTGTATTTTACAAGGGTGCTGGGCGACAGATTTAGTGTGTAGTTGTGAAATATTGAGTCAGTGGCTAAATTCCTAGTTTGTGTGAAGTCAGGTGGTGTGGGATTAAGCCAGGAAGAGTTCAAACTGGAATGCAGCTGAGTCAGTCAGAGAAACTCTTGAAATGCTGGTACAAAAAAAGGGAGCAGTGCTAATCCAGTACTGTGGTAATTACCCTGCTCAGATTCTGTGGTTTTTTGGGTCATGTGGATAAAGGTTTTGGGATAATCCTTGCTTACTATGTAAATCTGTGTTTCGATTTGCTTTGCTTAGCAAAGCAGTTTACTACATGTTTTTTCAAGAAGTCTTAATCAGTTTGTGGTAGGAATAAACTGAAGTGATGTATGAAAGGTTGTCAGAGTGCAGAAATATTTATTGTGTTCATTGATAATACTGTGCATTTAAACTCAGTTTCTTTGCTATTAAATAGCCTCATATGAATTTCAGAAGTTGCAGAGGGAAGTTTGTCTTATTAACCCAAGTAATGAGATCTGAGTTTCTTAAAGTCAGTTTGCTATGCATGGGTCAGCTTTAAATTGGAGAATCAAATGTTTTCATCTGTGATCTGCTGGAGAGTGTGCCGTGGAGTCTGTGAAGCTGTGTCTGTATTCTCATATTCACATCTTAGTCTTAGAGATTTGGAAGGCTCAGTCTCTTAATTTTCTAGCTCCATTGCCGTGGGTGGTTGCTTGACATTGAGTTGTTGCTGGTAAGTTTTTTGCCCGTGCTGGTGCAAAGGTTAAAGCTATGGTCCGAGTAACATTGCTTCACGACAGTCCCTTGGTAACCCTAGTATTGAGGAATGCAGACAGGAGAAACGGAAACGCCTTCACCTTTGTGCTACTTTCTTCTTATGTCTCTTTGCACTGTTTTTCTCTGCAAGCGAGAGGCTGACCGTAACCAGGAGCTGCTCACACGCATAAAGCAATACCAGGAAAGGGAAACAGAAGCTGAAAATAAACTGAAAGAACAAATGGAGATGAACAAATCGTATAAGAGGAGCATGGAGACAATGAGTAAGAAGCTGCAAGAGAAGGAGAGCAAATTAGCTGAAGCTAATGAAGTAAGAACAGAGTAATTTTTTAATCCGTTCATAGCTTCAGGTGACTTTGCCGTTCTTGTGAATTGAAAATGCCCTTTCTGATTTTTTAAAAAAATGTATAGAATTGGAATCACTATGTTCATTATCTGGAAATGAATAAACCCTGGTTTTGCTGTCAAATTTTAGAACCTAACCAAGTCTAGACACAGGCGAGCAGGTAGCAAGATGTTTTACTGCTGTGTTAATTAACAAAGTAAAGAGATTTAGATAGGTTGGTATGGGGAAGGATAAAAAAAAGTGTGAGGCAACATACAGCACCTGGGTTTAGAAGTCAGGTTACATGACATTGAGTAAAGAAAGGGGCAGTGATGGAGGAGATAAGATGAGAAGGTGTTCAGGGAAGTAGGGGGAACTGTAGGGTGGATGAGACCAAAGTTATGTACAAAGTATGTCTTCCCAAAGTGTCTTCAATGCCTCTGTGTGCCACTGTAGAATGAACACTTGGATAATCTTTTGGATGAACAGCCCATCTTCTCAACCCCTCAACCTTTTCAGATAGTATTACAGTTAAGTTCAGCTAGTTAGTTTGTTACTTTTCTGTTTAATCTGGTTTTGTGCACCAGCTGTGGATCAACAACCGCTAAGTCCTTAAGCCTTCCTGCTGCCTGAGCGTCACTGGAAATGTATCTATGTGATAAAGCAGGTAAACAGATTTAACGTGCCAGTTATCAGTGGTTAAGAACAGGGAGACAGTGATGACATGTGAGAAACTAAACCCACGTATGAAATGTGTGCAGCAGTTCTATTTCTGTGTTCTTTTTATTTCTATACCCATCAGTATCAAGATGAGAACCCTGCATGTCCCTCTGTGTAGAAAGCACCCTACATATGTAATGTTTTGACATTTTTTTCCTCTGCTAAAGGGAACTGAGTAACAGTGATTTGAAACAAACCTCTGAGTTTTTCTTTAAAGATGGTTAGAACAAAATTTTTAAAACCACTGGCCTCTGTTTTCAAGGAAAGCATAATATGTCTGGTATTTGGCTGCGGCAAACCCAGACATTTTCAACTTTGAAACCCAGGCAAAATATATTTGGAATGGTTGAGGGATATTTTTTTTTTAACTTTAATATATATTACTTGTGTTTTATCATCATCTAGCTTTGAAGCTTGTTATTTTTCATGCCGCTTTGAGGTCACCCACTTAATAGGTAATGGAAATGACAATTTGGGTGACAGATGAAAGCAACTAAATGATTTTTCTCTTGCTTTTATTTTTGAGGTGACTTTACAGGTCTGAAGGTTTGCAAGAGTGTGGCATTGTTTCTATATTCAGTGTTTGTATTTTTTAGTTGGATATGATTTCTGTCTATCAGCATCCATAATGTCCAGCTTGGAGAGTCATAGTCTTGTGTGTTTATTCTTTCTTTCCATTAATTCAGACAATCACCATATTAAAAGGGAAAATATCAGAGCTGCAATGGAATATAATGAATCAAGAGATGCAGATGACAAGCCAAGACTCTCAGAAGCAGGAGCTGATGGAACAGCTGGATGTTCAACAGAAGTAAGCAGGGGATCAATGGCTGTAGGGAGAAAAAGGCAAACAAAACTTCAGTCTTCTGCAGCTGTTGTCACTCAGAAAACTTTCAACAGCGTTTGATTTCTGCTCTTCAAAGGGGTTCTTTGATCTGGATGTGCAGGTTATAACCGTTGTTTGAAACTAGCTCTGAGGTGCAAGTTAATTGTACATTGGGGAAAAAAAAACCCACTTGAGCTTAAAATCTCAGCGATGTCTCATGTTCATGGTAGAGAGTTAACAGAAGGCATGTGGGTGGGAAAGGCTAATCTGAACTTTATAGGCTGAACAGAACAAAAATATCAAGCCTTAAATCATAGTTGAGGGTTAGTTGAAAGATACGAGTGTGTTTTTCCTTGCTTACTGAGTTCAACTCTTCAGTTTCAATGGTGCTGTTTATTTACTGTGAGTGTTGATTTGTTGGTTTCGTAAGGTGGCTTGATTTTTGGGTATTACTCAAGATGCATCTTTTTATTAAAATGGGTATTTTTGCCTCTAAGTTAGAGGGAGATGGTGTGAGTGTGAAACTGTGTGAGAGACGATCTTCTGTAACAGTAGCTTGTGTCTACATCTAATAGAAAATGGCAAGAGGCTAGTCAGCAAATCCAGACGTTGCAAGCAAGCCAATCCCTACTGGCAGAATATGAACAGAAGATTAAGGTAAGAAACTTTGTGGCCTCTTTAAAACTTTAGTTTTTAATTTCTTCTGTGGAAGAATAGAGGAGTATTTTTTTTAAAAAATGATTATTGCAGAAATAAAAGATTGGTTTGCTGTATAAGAATTTGACCTGGTGGCCAGCAAGAGTTGAAGTGGGCTAAATTCAATTGGATGGACCAGGCTACCTACAATTAGCTGTAACATGACACTCTTCACCTCTGTTGTATCAATTGATTGGGAAAAAAATCCAGCCATGCTTTCTCTATAGAAGAGTGATTTATATCCTTACGCAGTGCGCTGGAGAAATACTCTGTTTAATCGTGTGCCAGAGCACACGATTGCTCTGCTAAAAATTGCTTCTAGAGCAACCTTTTTTCAAATGGTGGGGGATGAACCTAGCAGCTACAGTTACTTTTCTGCTTCCCAGAAAACCCTTCCTCTGGAGTTGAATTTAGCTCTTTTAGAAAGTGCAGTTTCTTGCAATACTTTCAAAACCATGCTGGCTTAAATGTTAGTATAGAGATGCTTTATGTCCTTTTGAATTAACATGTAGGTTGGTGGGAGTGTATCTTTTTCACTTGTCTTTGCTTCCTGGGAGAGGTAGGTGTGGAGAGTTACTTGGGTTTGAGCAGGTGCTGGTAGTGCCGTTGCCTGTGGTTGCTGTGAAGGTAAGCTATGCTGAAAGCCAGCCTCATTGCCAGTTCTGTGGCTTAAGAAGAGACTTTGTCCGTTGGAAGGAAAGGTCGGGAAACAGGATATCAGACTGCAGCGCGGCTCTAAATGAACTTTTACCATAATGCTAAAATGTGTGGTTGTGTTTCTTTTCATTCCTAATTCTTGCAGGCCATCCAACTCTACACTTCATTGATGGAGGGATAGAGGACAAGAAAATCATAGATTTGGTTTAATTGATAGAAGAAGGTCTTTTAAGTGATTAGCAGAGATCCTTTTTTTGTTATGAACTTATGGTAAAGAGGTGTAGAGAAGAGGCCAGCCCAGGTGTTAAAAGTGGAACGAGAGTCATCCATCGCTACTTTGAGCAATGGATTGGAGCAGATGATCTACGAAGTTCCCTTCCAACTTCATTCAAATCATTGATTTGAGTTCAAAAAGTACAATGGAGAAGTAGCTCTTATGAATCCAAGTTAATCATTGCTGTCCTCTTGTCATCCCATGTTTTCCAGGATCTGGAACAGAAGTTTTCCCAGCAGGAACATGATGCTCTAATTGTCAAGAACATGAAGGCAGAACTGGCCCGTTTCCCAAAAATGGAGCGGGAATTGCGCCAACTCAGGGAGGAAAATGCCTACTTCAGGTGAAATAAGGGTTCAGTTGTGGAGAGGGTTATCTTGTGTTCTCTTGTACCTGCTGCAGTTGCACTATATGCACTTTCAAATTCCTCTATCAAGCTTCCATATGGGAAACTTAGAAGGAAGTTTAAATATTTCATATAAATGCTGCGTATGAGTTGAGCAGTGTTGTGACGGTTACTAGATGAGAGAATTTGATAAGATTTGGGTAATCTTCCATAACATAGTGAGAGTGTATTGATTGTTCTGGATGCTGGTACCTACTTGTTAGAAAAAAATTCAGTGTTTAAAGATAGAGATGAACTCTATACAGGTTTGGGAAAGAAAACCCTGTTGAGAGAAGAGATAGCTGAACATTTCTGTAATAACTGTTCTTGCTTAGTTATTGTTACCACTATTTTAAAAGCCTGTTGTTCCAGCATAATGTTTGGAAAGTCTTTTGTTTAAATTTTTGAAGCACTCTGATATAGCCCTTAGTAGAGTAGATGTTCTGGGTTTCTGAACTGACAATTACTTTGAAAAATTAAATTCCTGTGTACTATGAAATAACTTTCCTGAAAGATTTTTGTTTTTTCAGTAAACTTAGTTTCCATCTTTCAGTGCATCTTTAAAAAAACCCCAACCTAAATTACATGAGTGATCTTGCCAGCTTTTTCTTATTCTAAAATTAAATAATTTCCCTTGGCTTTGTTCTTGTTAGTGGTTCATTATCGTTTTAAATTATCTTGCAATTTTTTTCTTATGCTTGTTTTTTGTGCACAGAAACATGACATCAACAGATTAGAGGTCATATTTTTTTTGAAACAGTTTATCTCACCCTTGCAAACCTCTATTAAAGTAAGAGCAAGCAGTCTCAATGCTTGCTCAGTCATCATAGAGTACTCAAAAAGCCTAAGTGTCTACCGCTTGCTGTGTTCCAGCCCTGCATTCAGTCTGACTGAAGATCAGAGTTGGGGGTCTTTTGCTACGCTCAATGCTGTTTTGCCAATCAGTAAAGCAGATACAAAACTTCAGGTTGTTTGGACATAATTAGGAGGGCACATAGAGTAGAAAAGCATCAGTGCAATAAAGCTGTGTCTTTTTGTAGTAGTGGCTTTGCAGTGAAGGTTATAGAAGTGAGTCAGCTGAATGTCATCATGTCTGTTCAGTGTTGTATGATTCCCCTGTAATTCCACATGTATCTGGAAGTTTGTGAGAGTGAATTGAGTTTTACCACTCTATAATTGTTGTCTCTCTCTTCACCACAGGGAAATGAAAGAAAACAACGGATTGCTTAAAGAGGAGGTAGAAGGTCTCCAAAGAAAACTGGAACGCTATGAGAAAGTTCAAGCACAGCTAGTCACTGTTGAATTGGAAAATGAGGTGAGGAGCTAGGAATTTGGTAGATGAGCAGAATAGGGGTTTTCTTTGTTGCCTGTCCTGTCTTTTAGGCTCTTCCTATATTGTGTTAGCTGTGATATGATACCTGTTTTAATTAATGGGTTTGAACTAGGCATTCCCAAATTTGAATGTCAGCATGAGGGGAGCTATGTCAATGAAGGTTAAAAAGGCGAAAGGATATCTACTGTTCAGCTGGAGATTGTCTATAAGGAACATTCTCATCATAGTGTCTTTTTTGGCCTTACTGTCTCTCTTTTACCTTTCTTCTTCTGGAAATGGCGTTTTTGGTGTTAAACTCTGCCCAGGTGGTGTTGCTGAACAGACGTGTGGTAAGAACCTTGATACACACTTGGATTGCTAGCAGGGCCAGAATGTGGTCTCAAATGAAAAAAATTGTCTTGCTTCCATCCCACTCTGTGTCAAGCGTTCAGCAAGGTGTCAAGAGATTAACCTAAATGTGTAAACTTTTTGATCTGCAATACAACTTTTCTTCTCTGCTGCCAAGAGTCTAGTCTACCAAGGTCTAGTGATGGCAGCTGATGGGGTGAGATAATCCATAGTGCTGAAGTGCAACATAGGTTCTTTATGTTACAGAGCTGTGGTGACAGGGAAAATGTTTGTGAAGGCTGGAGAATGACAAGCCGAAAGTGCTGGATAAGATGATCATGAAGTCCACAGGAGGAAAAGGAAATACACTCACTTTGAATGGAGGATTATGAGAAAACTGATGGAAAACAAGCTGTTAGAACATTCATCTGTGTCTCTAACTCTTCTTTTGATTTCTACTTCAGAAACTTCTGGCAAAATTAAAAAGCTGGGAGAAACTGGACCAGAACACTGGCTTGAATATCAGGTATGTGCTCACAGCTCTGGAGGTAGGTAAAATTATTAAATCACTTTCCTCTTAATCATCTGATCTTTGAACTGTGTTGGTTGTGCTTTCTTGGTATCTTTTCTTCACATGGAAGCTCCTCCAGTACTTTTTGTTTTATGTGAGAAGAACCAGAAGATACACGTGCTGTTATAAAGTATCTTTGGGATCTAACAAATGTTTTTCACCAAGTCAGCTTGACCAGTGTCTCTGAGGCCAAGGTTCAGTTTTGAGTTCTTTGAAATGTTTGTGTATAGCTACATTCATGTTAAGTTAGAGATTCTGCTAGCTTAAGAAGTGAACTTTAGGGTATGTCCAGAGACGAGAATGTATGTTACGTGTGACAAATTGTTCTAAATACGGTTTCTTTGAAATCTAGAGAACAAGTTGTGGCAGTTTTTGTAATGAGTTTTCTTCCCTAAAGCATCTGAAGACAGTTGTTAATTTAATTGTTTTGTCTAATGAGAAATGGAATAAACTCAGTTTCTTTTAAAAGGGGAGATAAATCCCCACCCCCCCAATGGTGTTTTGTAACACCAGCTTGTCTCTGTGTACTATTACTTAACAACTCTTTCTAACATCTGGAGCATTGAACCAGATTTTTTTAAGGTCTCAGGTGTGTGTGTGGTATAAAGAGGGGCTGGAAATGGTGCATCTTCTGTTAATTTTCTTCCACTGCAGAAAGTTTTCTGTGTAGCTGCGATGCTTTAGTGTATTATATGTTTCAGCACTGCTTTATTTTCTCTACGTATTTACATTGTTATTACACTACAAGGAGAGATGCTTCTTTGTAAATAACTGTCTTGATATGAGCATTGAAGTACTGATCACCTTTCATATTGAATCAAGGACTGAGCTGCAGCATGAACCGCAGAACCTGATTTTACCAATTGTTTCTGTATTAGGTTCATTACGTGTGCGCAACAACAGCTATGTCTGCACACTGCTGGGGTTGTTTGGAATTAGGAGTGTCTGGATATGCACATATGGTTTGGGCGTTTTTCTGCTTCATGTAGAAGATACTTGTGTTCAACTTGGGAAAACCCTGTAAATTTTCTCAATGTCTTCTTTTTAATGATGATAATGAACCTTTTTCTAGAGGCATGCTAGAAGGTAGCATGCTTGAGATTCTCCTCTGCATCTGCTGAGGATACATACATTTAGATGAAGTTAGAATTGTGCTAAATCTCCTATGGCAAGGAATGGACAGAAATGGTATGAATCCTTTTCACAAAACCGGTTCTATCAGACAGTGGAGTACAAGCTTTTTACTTACCTCAAGCTGTTAAAGGTTTAATGAGGTAATTTCACAGTGGGAGAGAAATGGAACCAAGTGATTCTGCCTGTTGAAGTCTAATAACTCCTTCATTTAAAATCAGAATATTCGCTGTAAAGTGGTAGGTTTTTGATTGGGCCATATTGTTTAGTGCTATTAATGGCGTCGTCTTATACAGAAAAGGGAATTGCTCTTGACAAAAATCATCTTTTGCATACAGTTGTAGCAAGTGGAAATGGAGGAGTTCCCCCTCCCTTTGTTTTTTGTTTTTTTTTTTTCTTCTTTTTTGTTGTTGCTCAGGCTTCTTACAGCATGAATTATGTTAATTTTTGGTCAGGAGTATGAAGTTGATGAGAGGTCATTGTCCTGGTTAAGTTCCTGGAGTTGCTGTTGGTGAAAGTTTGAGAAGAGTTAATTGCCCGTCTCATAGTAGAAGAAAATAGGAACAAGTTGGATCGTTGTCCCAAAGAGCTAGAGCAATGTGCTGTTTGCTAATAGTTAGATCAGCCAGGAAAAAAGGCATGCATTAGGATTTCTCGTCTTTTCTTATCACATTACTCATAGGTACAGAGAATGTCAGGGAAGTGCATACAGTGTGTGTCGTTTTAGGAGAGGATGGTTTTTCATTTCCTCCAGCACTTCCCACAGGGCTTGTTCTGTGTCTGCTCTCGGTGGTTTCTGTTCACTGATTACCAGGTCCCAGCAGGCTTTTTGTCAGATTGGCTTATGGTCAGACCTATGAGTGTAATTTCGAGTGTAATTTTATGTAATAATACTTGGAAAGGAGGTGCAGCTTTTAGGAGTGGAGTGGTAATCCTACTGTTTTAGTACTGGTTTCTTTTTGGTAACTCTGAAAGAGCTAAGTGTTTATAATGCTTCACCTTATGGGGGGAAAACAAGTTCATTAACAGTGTACTCAAAGGCTGATCTTACATTTGCTAGTTCTGGATTCCACGTGTAAGGTCCTGGGTTTTCCTCTTGCTCTCACAAACTATGGAAGCAAAGACAGCTTTAGCTCTAGAGCATGTTGGTGTGTTTGCCTTGCTGTTGCGCAGTGTTCTGTCCAGAATCTGCCCGTGGAATTATGTATGCCTTATACAAATGTTGTGTAATATACTTCTCAGCTGCACAATACCCAGATAATAAAATAATACATACCTTAGATATGTGTGGTTCATGTATACACATTACAAATCTACATAATCTTTTTTGTGTTCAAGTGTGTGTCTTTTTGATATCTTGATCTTACTGCCTACTTTCTAGTATAGTTGGTGCTGTCTTTTATCTTGGATGTCATTTTGTGTTGTAGTGTGTCGTAGGTATTTTCTGTGTGTTATTGTTATGCTGTCAGGGATTTTCATACATCTGTCATGTCACTCTGACTTGATATTACTGCTGTAGGATTTGGTTTCAACTGTAGAAGGAAAAAAACACTGAATTTTGAAATTCTTGCTTTGTGTGTAGAAAGTCTTACTTATTTTTGAGTTTACTCTCTTTGGGAAGGATATTCATATATGGCTATTGTAGGACGGACTTATTAGGAAAGATTTGTGTTGAGAGAACAAGCTTTTTGTACTCAGTCTCTCCAGGATGTGCTGACGTAGTTTGTATTTCTTCAAAATCCAATATACATGTAACTGAGTTGTTGACCATCTTCAATGAAGAACCATGTTATTCATGACAGACTTGGTTGTTTTTTCAGAGTTGGACTGTTAACTTAGATATATTTTCCAGGCAGTTTCTTGACTGTCATTAAAAAACACGTATTTTAAGAGAAAAATATTTCTGGAAGGTTGTGTGCGAGAGGAGGCAGGTGCTTTACTGGATGACAGCATGCGAAACCATCCACGAGATGGCATCCGTTCTCCTGCTGCTGGAGAAAGCTGGTTTTGTGCTCCAGTCTGGCGAGCTCTGCCTGATGTGAAAACCGTCAGCTGGGCACCTTAAGAAGTGTCAGGTAGTCTAAGGAAAATTGTTCACTGTTGCTGTCAGATCTTTGGAAATTAATGCTGTGTGCATGCAATCACTGTCTCCTTGTCCAGTACTTAGGGTAGTAACTTTGTATGAAAAAGATTTGTGCATATTTCTCTAATGGCATACAGAGCAGAGTGTTTTTCCAACCAACTCTGTCAACTTCATATTTACACCATGCACCCTTCATTTTGTCTTGTTTAATAGGAGTTCTTCAAAGCCTGGTTCTTTTATCCCCACCCCAAGCCTAAGAATTGCATCCTCAAGAGCAGCACTGTTATTGTTCTGACGTTCCCTTCTGCGACATGTAGAAGATACCCAAATAAAAAATGATGGTTCTTGTTCTGTGAGCTTCTAATCTAAATAAGCCTTTTTTTGCTGCTGTGTGTCTATGTTTGGCTGGTATTACCTTTGTCCTTCAATGAATGAACCCAGTGATTTTGCAATCCATAAACAGATACACTGTGGGGTACAGAATGATGTAAAATGATGTGCATCAGGCATGTTTTAAAGATGAGGCAGTTAGTCAGATACTGCAAATACTGATAGTCATTGATAGCAGCTGACAAGAGTTAATGCTAAATTTGTATTTATCCATAAGGGGCAGAAGGTTGCAAGTTTTGAAAGGTTGAAGTTTTGCTGAAAAGTTGTAAAAATTTGTGAAGGCTGACAGGTGGACCACAAGCACAGCTTTAGAGGAGTTTTAGTCCAAGCATTTTTTTTTTGTTGTTGAGAGAATATATTGATAATGACCTGTTTAAGTAGGCCTTTCCTTTTTGGGGTACCATTTTCTGTTGCAAATAGCACTGTCAGGTCAGGCTCGGTGTTTGTATGTGGAAGATTTTGTTCGTATTACTTTTCAGAATCATTTTCCTTTTTTCCATGCCCATCACAGGAAAGCAGTGGAAAGATCAGCTGTCCTTTTCTGAAGGGCCATGGAGTACAGTATGGAAAGTAAAGGTGGGGCTGACGTATCAGAAAGAAAAGTAGAATCATGGATTCATAGAATGGTAAGGATTGGAAGGGACCTTAAAGATCATCTAGTTCCAACCCCCCTGCCATGAGCAGGGACATCTTCCACTAGACCACATTGCTCAGAGCTCCATCCAACCTGGTCTTGAACACTGCCAGGGAGGGGGCAGCCACAGCTTCTCTAGGCAACCTCTTCCAGTGTTTCATCACCCTTATTGTGAACGGTTTCCTCCTAATATCTAATCTAAATCTGCCTTCTTTTAGTTTACAGCCATTCCCCCTTGTCCTATCACTACACTCCCTTGTGAAAAGCCCCTCTCCATCCTTCCTGTAGGCCCCTTCAGGTACTGGAAGGCTGCTCTAAGGTCACCCCGGAGCCTTCTCTTCTCCAGGCTGAACAGCCCCAACTCCCTCAGCCTGTCCTCATAGGTTTTTTGCTGGCCACGCTTCTCTTGATGCAGCCCAGGATACGGTTGGCTTTCTGGGCTGCAATCGCACATTGCCAGCTCATGTTGAACTTCTCATCCACTGGTACCCCCAAGTCCTTCTCCTCAGGGCTGCTCTCGAGCCACTCTCTGCCCAGCCTGTACTTGTGTTTGGGATTACCCCAACCCACTTGCAGGACCTTGCACTTGGCCTTGTTGAACCTCATGCGGTTCCTGCAGGCCCACCTCTGCAGCCTGTCAAGGTCCCTCTGAATGGCATCCCTTCCCTGCAGCGTGTCGACCACACCACACAGCTTGGTGTCGTCAGCAAACTTGCT